ATGAAGTTAGGTCCTTGGATTTTAATAATTGATTTAAACCTACCAAATTGTCCTTGATGTGATTGCAGATTTTACCAGTCCAGTCAAACTCCTTTGTTATTGTGTTTGAGGAGATTTGATCATAGACATTTAAAGAGGAGCTAGTTCTTCTCAATTATGCAAAGCTTATACCCTTGATACGATGCCTCACTGGCTCAATCTTAGGGCTACAATTGAGCCGGATTTTCTTTCCTCTCGATTTTCTTCTTTAGGCTTCCAAATTCACTTCTTTAATCCATTTAATTAGTGATAATAATCATGCAGGAGGTATTTTAGTCATTATAATATTAATTTTCTTACAAGCATTTGGAATTGGACCTCCCATTCATACAAGAAATATATTTTTAGAGAAACCAAAGATTTATTCTCTTATAATAGCACCACCGACTACAATAATATCATTTACAGACCAAACACATTTCGATATCAGTATCATGTAGTTTTTCTTACACGGGTTAACTGAAGGATCATTCATTTCTAATATCTTACATGTTATATCTTAAAACATCTGATTTTTCACATTTATTTAAGTTCCACCTTGTACAAGATTCTCTTTCCTACCCCGTTTAAATTATCTTTCTATTCAAATCCCAATGGATAGCGAAACAGGGCAATCTTCTAGGGCGAAAATGGAGTCTCTGATAACGATCTGTGACACAGATTTTTCGATCCAACAGCACAAGATAGATTCGTTTACGGCATCGCTTAGTTCTATCAAGGCCCTAGCACTGGATACCGCCCAAAATCATGGTACTTTTAGGGTTCCTACACACATACTCTCTCTCTTTTTCACGCATATACTTAAATCCGAGTGAGGTTTTTGATCGGAGAAAAATTAGGGTTCTGATAGTGAATTCCGGGATTTTCTTCTTACGCTGCGTTTATACAGCTAAACTCGCAAAAATGAAAGCCAATTTAAGAGAAGCCGAGGATGAGCTTGTCAAGGTTTTAGCTGGTAATTGCTCTCTTCTGTTTTGAACTTTATTTTCTGCCTTTTGGGGTTTGGGTTTATAGCAATTTGTTATGAGTTGGGAAGAGCAAGTTGTGCGGGTTTCTAAATGTTGTTTTACAATGCTGCTTTGTAGCGAAGACCCGTAAAGAGGCAAAACAGATGGCAATGAGGGACTCGATGTCAACTATAAAAGCTAGAGTAGAAGAACTTAAAAGAACTGTTCAATTTCAAAGGACTAGAAGGGATGAGTATGGAGCAATTATATCTCAACAATCTCTGGGTAATCACATACACTTGCTCAATGGGATGTATTTATGCTTCATGTGTGGCTCGAAAGGGATGATATTTATGGTACCGTACGGTATAAATTTTAAATTATAGAATTTCTGGTAATGCACACTGTCTGATATTTTTTCGATGGTTATGTGGGACTAGAGGTTTGAGAATATTATTGGGGCGAGTTCCTATATCATGGATAGTGCATTTCATACATTGTGATATCGATGAAGCAAGTTATATATAAGTTTCTGTGGACATATTGCCATGTCGATTGTAGTATTATACTGCTAAATCTCCATTCCTTGCTGAACTTGCTCATTTTCCTTCTTTTTGATGAAAGTTTGTACCTGCACATTTATACTGTATGTATCTGTGTTCTATTTCTCATGCCATGTAATGGGTGGTTTGAGGGCTGGCGAGGAATTTTTAAGGTGTCAGGAGGTCTGCTTAAGCAGTTATTTTGGATTGCCATGCTACTTTTGTGATCCAACGAATCTACTCCAAGCAAAGAAGTAACTAAAAAACTTATTCCTTGTGCCTAATTTGCTGGAATATATGTATTTTTCCATTTTTCTGATATTCACTAAACAATTTTTGGGCTGTTATTTTTTCTTTTCCGTATAATAATTTCTATGTAAATTTATTAATTATTTTCACTTCATTTCGCTAGGGCTCTTCTAATTTACTGCTTATTATGTGCTTTCTTTATTTTTCTCTCTTTGGTGATACCCACAGCATTGTCAAAAACTGAAGAGGAGGCAGTACATGAAAGAGAGGAAAATGGAGAAATTCAAGAAGCTATTTCATGGTACAACCGGGTTTTAGGTTTTCAGATTGAAGGCGGTCATGGTAAGTAACATAGTTATGTTGCATGACATTTTTTGTCCCCTTGCTGCCCCTGTGTTTTCTTACTGTATGTTTTGTTTATCCAGGGGTGAAATTTATGTTCAATGACATTAACTTAAAAAATCCGAAGCAAGAATATTCTTTTACCATTCGTCATGCAAATGATGATTACTCCTGTACGTAATTTCACTCTACTGTGTTAGATATATTCTAAAATGGTATGTGTTCTAACATATTTATTTCTTCCTCATGATCTTAAGTACTGGATTGCAATCCACAGTTGAATGGCATTAAAGAGTTGATTAATGAGTTGAACAGCACAAGTGACTTATTCGGCTTTGTTAGAATCATGAGATAAAAATTTCAAGAAGCAACGACACTTGGTATGATTTCATTGTATTCTTTTCACCCTGCGTGCTGGATGCTTGAATTTGGCACTTGGTTTCAAGAATATATAATTTCATCTATTGAGACCTTTCTTGTTATTGTATGTAATTTAAGAAGCTATTATTTAAATTCTTCCCCTGCGGTTCCTCCAATATGAGTTTGGACTCATTCTTCTTAACAAAATTCTTCCATCATTTATGACTCATCAGGATTGCATCCCCAATACACAAGTTCTCATCAGGACTGTTCCACAATCTCCATGTCTGGTCCAGCTTTATCGGTTTCAACTGATAGAAGTGAAACTTCTGCCAAGAAAAATGAGCGTCACATCCCACTTCGAGATGTAAATGGGCAATTTAAGAAAGTCAGCCACGGAAGTGAATCTCCCGTGGAAGTAAACGAAAATCAATTTATTGATGGAGCGTTCAATAAATATCCCAAGAAAGTAGCCAAATCAGATATCTTATCATCGGTTGTTCATCGCTCCCCTCGGATTAAGGAAGTAGCAAAACAAGATCTTTTATCGCCACTTGTTCGCCGTTCCCCTCGGCTTAAGGTATTGTATCCTATCTTGCATGTTCTCTGCTTGTCTTGGACTGTATACAGAAAGTAGCACACACACACAAACATGTTTTATATCTGTCTGCCATTTTATGAGTAGAATGTTGGTGTTGCCATTTTATGAGTAGAATGTTGGTGTTGTTTTCTTTGAAGATTCAGTTGATATCTTGCGATAGTAGCAAAAAAGTAAGGGATGGAGATTGAGCTTTGAGCTGTCAAGCTTGGCCTGGCATTGCAAATAATCTGTTAACATACCTACAAGATTTTCATGCTTGATTGTTCAAAGTGTGTCTAGCATATTGTTTTCCAGGAACTCCTGTCTTAGAATAATATGTTTACCCATTTTCATCTTTCTAAGTTGGAGATGCATATTTGTTTGTAGAATGAAGTGAGTGCCTTTTTGTAATAACTCCCATACTCACTTACCTACGTTAGGCGAGAGGCAAGTTCATGAATTATGTAAAATAGGTATTTGTACTATATCCTTAGGATCTCAGGGCAAGGCATTTGTGCACATTATGAACTTGTATGGCGTATGTTCTATGTTATTAGTTCAACTCCACTTAAGACTGCAAGATTCGTAGTGAAGAATTTTTCTAATTTGAGATGTAGGAATATATGGCAGGCTAAGAAATGAAGTTAGAGTGGGGGCTGCTTCACTGTATCAGATTTCCGATTTTGTGCTGATTGTGTTTGGAACACATCCAGTATGACCTTGCTATGTTTGTATCATTACTTCATTATAGATATGAAACTACCGAAGATGGCTAGTTGAGCCGATAGTCTAGATGCTTTAGTGTTATTAGGTTTTGGTACTTCCATTGTATCTTTAGGATGAATGCATTACCATTTTATCATTCTAAAAATCTGTATAACTCGATATATCGATTTGGTTAGGTTTTAGCCCATTAATATTATTCGTAGAGTAATTTGTGAAAGCGTGTTTATTGGGGTCCAAGTTAGCTCTGACTGTCCATTTCTATGCTACATTTGCTTTCGAGTTCTTCGGATGCAAGTAATTGGCACTTTATAAAAGCATGCGAGCGTACGCATCAAGTACCTAGCCAGCAATTCACTTGACGGTAACACGCATAACGCAAAGCAAAGAAGCATTCCCTATTCTAAAGTTTTCTTTTTTGAATATAAAAGGTAATAGAGGTTGTGTATTTACTGCCGCAGTAAATTGGTAAAATTTCAAACAAGTACTAACAAACTTAAACTCAATGATAAAGGTTAAATACATCTTTGCTTTTAAAGTACTAGCAATCTAATTATAGCGAATGCTAAAGGATCTTGGCACATATCTAAGTATATGTTTTTTTTAATTTAATCGATTACACGCTTTCACAAATTACTCTACGAATAAAATTAATGGGCTAAAACCTAACCAAATCGATATATCGAGTTATACAGATTTTAGTGGTTATAATAGAATATTGTTTTTTTCAGTGGTTTAAAGTTTAAACAATTGCATCTTAGAAGTGGGCGTTATTAATTGATTATCAAAAACTTATTTCTTAAAAAAGTTATAAAAATAATAATGAAATAAAAATCAATATCCATAAATTATGGACAATTTAAAAATATAATAAATATTAGTGTTTTATATATTATAGAAATGTTTTTCTAATAGTATTATAGAAATGTTAAATAATGAATTTAAGATTAGGAGTTAGACTAAAAAAAGAACAATGTAATCTATTAAAAGGTCATATAAATGCTTAAGTTGTTTTTCTAATCATTTTAATGAAGGATTGAGAATAAATTTACGATAAAAACTAATCTATGTTTGGAAGGTTCAGGTACAAATTTGGGGCACCTATAAAATAAATTTACTTTTTAAATATTTCTATTTTATTTTTTAGGTGTCCCAGTTTCCACTATATAAAGTGGCTTTCACTCTCAGCTTTTCTATTGTATATTTTCGAAGCGACCCTTTTTCTCTGCGTAGTAGTGACTGGTGACCCGAAGAGTGGTATTCGTACGCCTTTTTCCTCTACTTTGTTTTATATTTAAAAAGGTTTGCAATAAAATGCTTTTTCTTAGCATTTTTAATAGATAAGCGGTTTTCCGGCGGCGCTTTTCAGTCGAAACTTGTACGCATTTCAGTATTTCTTCTTATCGTTGATGGATCTACTTTCTTTGGCCCGGTTTCTGTCGCTTTTTCTCAATTTTTTTACTGATCTTACGTCACCTGTTTGTATTTTGGCTGCAATTTCTTAGATCTCCATGTTCTGCTTTCTCTCATCTAGGGTTTGACGCGATCTTACGGTTTTTTCTGCTATTATTTCTATGCATACGTTAGGGCTTCTGTTCGTAGTTTCACAATGCTTTGTTTTGTTAACTTTGATTTGTTATATGTGTGCGTATTTTCCTCTCTAATATTACAGTTAAGAGATGCTTATATTAGTTGTATTTTTTTTGGTGGAAAACGGGTTTTAGGTTTTCATTAAGGAGCAAAACTTTACTTCTGCAAACAAACTTCTTGTTGTAGCAATTGCTCTGTTTTCTTCCTTTATCATCTACTTCTGCATGTATGTGAACCTCATTTTTGTCTTTTGTCTCCTGTTACAGTTATTATCGTTATGGTTAGGAAGAAGAGAACTGATACCCCCTCCGGTGGAGGTGAGGGCTCTCAGTCCCATGAAACTGGTGGTGGCAGTGGTCATGGTCCCCAGCGTCCCCCTCAACAACAAGGTGGAGGTTATTCTGGGGGAAGAGTGGCTCCTCAGTCCCAGCAAGGAGGTCGAGGGGGAAGTTATGGCACTGGTGGTCGAGGTCTTGGAATGCCACAACAGCAGTATAGTGGAGGACCGCCTGAATACCACCAAGGTAGAGGAAGGGGAGGTTCTTACCATCAAGGAGGTCGTGGGGGATTTGGTGGTGGTCGAGGCAGTGGTGTCCGTGCTGGAGGACCTTTCCCTGGTGGACCATCACGACCACCTGTTCCCGAGCTGCACCAAGCAACCCAAACTTTTCAAGTTGAGGTTATCCGCCAGCCTGCTCCATCTGAGTCAGGCTCATCATCGAGGCCACCTGAGCAGGCACCATTAGCAGAGCATCTTCAGCAGCTTTCTATCCAGCAAGAAGCTGGCCAAGCAATTCAGCCAGCCCCTCCCTCAAGCAAGTCATTGAGGTTTCCTTCTCGACCTGGAAAGGGTTCCACTGGCACAAAGTGCATAGTCAAGGCTAATCATTTCTTTGCTGAGCTGCCAGATAAAGATTTGCACCAATATGACGTGAGCTCTTCTATAATCAGCTATTTCCCTTTTTCTTGTTTGTATCTGCCTTTATTTACAGATTCTTGATTGTCATTGTCAATGGAAATAGGTTACCATAACACCGGAAGTAGCCTCACGAGGAGTGAACCGTGCTGTCATGGCGCAGCTAGTGAAATTATATAAAGAGTCTCATCTCGGAAAGCGCCTTCCTGCTTATGATGGCAGGAAGAGTCTTTACACTGCTGGACCTCTCCCTTTTGTGTCCAAGGAGTTTAAGATCACCCTTATTGATGATGATGATGGTTCAGGAACGCAAAGGTTGTTCCCTGGCATCTTATTTTCATTCTACATTCATTTTGGTATCTGCTTATTTCTTTTTGTGCTACTTCTGATTTTTGTGAATTTTTTTCTTTTAAAGAGGGAAGACTATATCCTTTTTGACTTATTCATAGTATCTGAGTTATAAAACTTGAAAACTTGGTTCCGGCTTGGAATGCCAATGCAGCATTTGGTTTCAGGAAACATAGTCCATTGCATTTTCATTTCAAGAGTGAAAAAATGTTTTGTGGTTCAAATTGAAAGCATTGTCTACAAAATGAAATTGAAAAATGGTTTCAAATAGGAAACAGGAGAAGAAAAATGTCTTCAAATGCAATGGGTTCGCCTAACACATTTATATTAAAAAACAAGCAGAAATGTTTTTTGGAAAATGAAAATTTAAAATAAAATTGTTTTCTCAAAACAAAAAGAGCCTATATTTTGCTTGCCTTATTTCCGTAATCAGGTTACTAAGTGTCTACCAACTGGTGATTAGTTTTAATCTTCTTCTTAAATTTTTGTATTACAGGAGAATATAGGAAGAAAAAGTTTGAATGGGATGGGACTTCTATTTTCTTTTTTACATTTATATTTCATTTTCTTGATGCAGAAGAGAGCGGGAATTTAAAGTTGTGATCAAATTAGCTGCACGTGCTGATCTACACCATCTTGGACTCTTTTTGCAAGGGAAGCATGCTGATGCACCTCAGGAAGCTCTTCAGGTTCTGGACATTGTTCTTCGTGAACTACCTACTACTAGGTATTGCATTTTTGTTTTTTTTGCATGTACGTTTACGACACTGCTACTGTTCTAATTTTGATGTGTGAAAGTAATGGTAAATAATTACAGGTACTGTCCTGTTGGCCGGTCATTTTACTCACCTGGCCTTGGGAGAAGGCAGTCTTTGGGTGAGGGATTAGAAAGTTGGCGTGGCTTTTACCAAAGTATTCGTCCAACACAGATGGGACTGTCGCTGAATATTGGTACTATTTTGCATGTCTAGGTGGTTTATTCATGTGTCTTTGCAACTGCATTATATCTCTGTTCCTTGATCTAACATGGTCATATGTTGACAATTATCTGCTGGACAGATATGTCTTCAACTGCTTTCATCGAGCCTTTGCCTGTTATTGATTTTGTAACACAGTTGCTAAATCGCGAAGTTTCTAGGCCACTATCTGATTCTGATCGTGTGAAGGTTAGATTTTTTTAAATTTTTATCTGATTGGAAATATTATGACCAATTACTTCCACAATCTTTGTTGCTTTTTGTTCTTGTTAAACCAGCTAATTTTCTGACATCAATTAATAGGCATGATCGCATTTGTAACAGAAGTATATGTTATCTAATTGCAATAATGTTTTTGTTACAAAAGATTTTAGGTGAAAATGCCTTCTATTGAATATTATGTTCTCCCTTTAGTTGTTATTTTGTAATAATTCATGTTATCATCATTCCATGTTCATTTTATATTTTTGTGCGTGAATAGATTAAAAAGGCTCTTAGAGGAGTCAAAGTAGAAGTTACACATCGGGGCAACATGCGAAGAAAATATCGTATATCTGGTTTAACATCACAAGCGACTAGAGAGTTGACGTGAGTATTACTGTTATTCTATTATGCAATACCTTTCTGAAAATCTTAATCCTTTTAATGTAAACCGAATGCAGTATTTGTTTCACCTTTAACTACAGAAAAAATGTTTAATTTGTTTCAACCTTCTCTTCTAAAAATTGAAATGTGAGGACGATCACATAAGATTTTAAAAGACACACCTTTTTCTGATTTTGTGCTGATAAAATACAGATCTATGTATGGCATGATTCCTGCTTCTCTAACAGATCTTATTGTTTGTAGTTTTCCTGTAGATGAAAGAGGCACAATGAAATCTGTTGTGGAGTACTTTCACGAAACTTATGGTTTTGTCATTCAACATACCCAATGGCCATGTCTACAAGTTGGGAATCAGCAGAGACCAAATTATTTGCCAATGGAGGTAAATTATTTTGGAGCGATCTCCTTTAGATTGAACATGTAATTTATATATGGATATGCATGCTAATGACTTGATTACCATAGGTATGCAAGATTGTAGAAGGGCAAAGGTACTCGAAGAGATTGAATGAGAGACAGATTACTGCTCTTCTGAAGGTCACCTGCCAGCGTCCTCCGGAGAGAGAGTATGATATTATGAAGGTATCACATTTTTTCTGTTTCTTTTTGTGTTACTAAATTGTTTTACATCGTCTCATGAGTCTTGCAATTTTTTTTCCTTTTGATGCATTGATATGACATTTGTTTTCCAACATTTGCATCAAAGCTGCATTAAAAGTTTCTCTTTTTTATTCTTTGTCCGTGGTTTGCATGTGAACAAATTGCTTGTAAAAGTAATTTTAATTGTCAATGCCAAAATGTTATCTCTATTTAAAAAATGAGGACTAATTTAGTATCGAACCCGAGTACCTTTGGATATATAAGTCTACAACATATTTTTGGTTCTTACTATGGTCTTCTAGTTGAACTTTTTTTCATGACAAAATTGTCAAATGTGTTGAGGGTTTGTTCTTGTTGGATTAATTTCTTGTTCCTGCTAGACGGTGAAACACAATGCTTATCATGAAGACCCTTATGCAAAGGAGTTTGGAATTAAAATTAGTGAGAAACTTGCTTCTGTTGAAGCACGCATTCTGCCTGCACCATGGGTAAGTTATCAACTACCATATACTTTTTTCTGTAATTTTGTGGTTTCTTCCAGATTTTGATTTGTGATTGTATTTCTCTTCTCCATGTAGCTTAAATATCATGATGCAGGCAGAGAGAAGGATTGCCTGCCTCAGGTTGGGCAATGGAATATGATGAATAAGGTATATCTTCCAGTTTGAAGTGATATAATGTGGATTTTTTGTTGTTGATTTTGTGGTCTCATTATGTATTTGATCTTAATCGAACTAGTCTTATTCCCAATATGTGGAGGAATAGATTAATAATTTGGTTATATATGTGAAAAGAAAAGGTATTTTGGTTATCTTAAAATCTAAAGGGGAATAAGTTGGTTTGACTGCATGTACAGATTTTCAGAATTGAGATTTAGGCACCAAAGAGTGTTAGAAAATATGAAACCGAACCCTACTTTTAAAGGAAAGGTTGGTGGGTGATATAGGGAAGAGAAATAGGCGAAAGTGTTGTTGGTCAGGATAGTATTTTTTAATTTAAATTCATAGAATATTGTTTCAGGATAGATGCATTTGTCAGATTACATAATAATTTTACAAGATCTTTGTCGAAAGAAGTGAGCAAGGAGTAAACTAAGGGTACATTCATGTTGTGTCAAGTATTCATGTCAAGTATTCAATGAACAATGAACGAACTTAATTTGATAATTTTAGGATTATATTGGACTTCAAAAGCTAGTTGAAAGAGATGGAATTCTGTGACAGGCTCACTCCATTACAAATTTGATGATTTTGTTTTCTGAAACAAGATGTGCTTTAGATTTAGCTAGGAGCCTGCCATAAAATTGTATAATATATAATGCCTTTACTGCGAATGTTATCTATCAAGTTTGCCATCAATTTTGTTGTCTGTCCATGCTTGGTTAAGCGTTTTGCAGAGTCTATCGCAATGTCTTGACATTTTCTTTTCGTTTTCCGTCAATGTACATGATTTCTTTGTGCCATATGCACATCAAGTGAAGTGTGTACTGCCACGTGCATTAAGTTTATAGGCTGAGCCAGGAATGGTTGAATGTAAAATCTTGTGCATTATCTGATTTTTAATTATCTTGTTGCAGAAAATGGTTAATGGCGGGACTGTAAACAACTGGATCTGCATAAATTTTTCTCGACAAGTCCAGGATAGCGTGGCTCGAGATTTTTGTTATGAACTTGCACAAATGTGTTATATCTCTGGCATGGTAAGGGAGTTCCATGAATCTGAGGAGAGCCATCTTTATTATCTCAGTTTCGTTATTGTTGAACAAATTTAATTTGGAAAAGAATCCTTTTAACCTTGATGGTTGTGTCATTTACAGGCTTTTTCTCCTGAACCAGTGCTTCCTGCTATTAGTGCTCGGCCCGAGCAGGTTGAGAAAGTCTTGAAAACAAGATATCATGATGCCATGATTAAACTCCAACCCCAGAACAAAGAGCTAGACCTGCTGATTGTTATTCTCCCGGACAACAATGGTTCTCTTTATGGTATATATTTACTAGTTTGAAATTAGTTGTTTCTTCAAAAGAGATTCAATGCCTTTCTCTGAATCTTTCTATTTCCCTTGCAGGTGATTTGAAACGGATTTGTGAGACTGATCTTGGTGTTGTTTCTCAGTGCTGTTTAACTAAACATGTATTTAAAAAGAGCAAACAATATTTGGCCAACGTGGCATTGAAGATTAATGTCAAGGTTGGAGGAAGGAATACAGTTCTTGTTGATGCAATATCACGAAGAATTCCTCTTGTTAGTGACCGACCAACTATAATTTTTGGTGCTGATGTTACCCACCCTCACCCTGGGGAAGATTCGAGCCCTTCTATTGCAGCTGTATGCCTTTTTATCTGCTTTTGATGTATGGTCTAATTGCCTCGTTTGGAATTTTAATTATAAAAATTAAACTTTCAGGTTGTTGCCTCCCAAGATTGGCCAGAGGTTACAAAGTATGCTGGTCTGGTTTGTGCTCAAGCTCATCGTCAGGAGCTCATTCAAGATTTATACAAAACGTGGCAGGATCCTGTAAGAGGGACAGTTTCTGGGGGCATGATTAAGTATGGTTTTCTTCGTGTGCTTTTAATTTTTACTTGTTCCTTTTCATAGATTTCAAATGTAGTTTGTTTGAGTTTCTTTCCCTTTTGTTCATTGGTGATACAGGGAGCTCCTAATATCTTTCCGAAGAGCCACCGGACAGAAGCCACAGCGCATCATATTCTACAGGTATAAGCAAGATGCTTTATTTTCTTCCCCCACCCACTTTTCTCTTGGTTTTATTTATTTATTTCTTATTTTCTTTATGCAGGGATGGTGTCAGTGAAGGCCAGTTTTATCAAGTTTTGTTATTTGAGCTTGATTCTATTCGTAAGGTGAGACCCATTTGTTGCCTATGTTTCAACCGGTAATTTGTACAATATTTTGTATGGTCAAAGCTCCGCATCTGATTCTCACTCTTTTTACTGTCTATTCATTTAACCTCAGGCATGTGCCTCCTTGGAACCTAATTATCAGCCTCCTGTTACTTTTGTTGTTGTACAAAAACGCCATCATACAAGGTTGTTTGCGAGCAACCATAATGATCGCCGTTCTATTGACAGGAGTGGGAATATTTTGCCTGGTAAGTAGTGTTCTCTCATAATTTATTATGGTTCCATAATCGGCGTATAATCTATCATTCTCGTCTTTTATGTATTCTCAGGGACAGTTGTTGACTCCAAAATTTGTCATCCAACGGAGTTTGACTTCTACTTATGCAGCCATGCTGGTATTCAGGTTTGATTTGCTTCGTTTCTGGTCCGTGTTTGTTTGTTTTGATAGTTTAGTATGTATATGTTATTGGAAAGAATGTTTCTTATACTTTGTCTGCCTTGGTAAACAGGGTACTAGTCGTCCAGCTCATTACCATGTGCTATGGGATGAGAACAAGTTTACGGCTGATGCATTACAATCTCTTACAAACAACCTCTGCTATACGTATGTTTCTATCCCTGATCTTTTATTATTTCAGTCTTAATGTTGTGCATGTTTGCTTAGATGAGAGGCATTATTCACTGCCTTGGAAGGTGGAGGCTGCAATTAGAGTTGGTGTGCCTAATAATTATTCTCAATTGTTGCAGATATGCAAGGTGCACGCGGTCCGTGTCAATAGGTTAGTTGTTTGGCTTCATCCATAAACTAGTTTCTGTCCCCTCCCCTCCCCACATTTTTCTTTTGATTTGACGACCTGGAAACTAATAAATTTGCAGTTCCCCCTGCCTACTATGCTCATCTTGCTGCTTTTAGAGCTCGTTTTTATATGGAACCGGAGACCTCAGACAGTGGATCAATGACAAGTGGCACGGTTGCAGCTCGTGGAGGTGCTGGGGCAGGTGGTCGAAGCACAAGAGGGCCTGGTGCTAGTTCTGCTGTGAGACCTCTGCCCGCCCTCAAGGAAAATGTCAAGAGGGTTATGTTTTACTGTTAGGTTCTGCATGATCGTATCTCATTGAGATGATCAACAGTTTCTCTACTTTGTTGGGGTTTATTTGAACCTTTATTGTGTTTATTTGTGTGTAATTTTATTGTGTTGTAAACTGTGTTAATTTAGAGACTTTTGTTGACTTGCACTGTGTTTGGTGCTCAGCTAAAAAATGGGTATCTGGCTTTGTTGGCTTATATCGGTTTGTATTGCTTACTAGTACAAACCACCTATTTCATTCGTAGAGTGAGTTATAATTGTTCTTTTAGCTATGATGATACTTTTTCAATCACCCGTGAAACCATTTCAAAGAAAACCTGCACCTAAAATAGCAAGTGAAGCAGATTATGGTTATGGGGTGAGTTAAGTTTTGTGTTGGTTTTCGTATTGCCCCTTAATTCCATATGGTCTTCAAGATATATTTACCCATAATACCATTAATTTAAGGGATAAAAATTGAATGATGTTAAAAATAATAAAGTAAATTGAATATAAAAAAATTATTGGTAAGAATTATATTGTCTATGATTACCTCCATGGAAACTAAAAAATAAATCAAAAGTATGTGAATTTAAACCAATTATAATCCGCTGAACTGAACTAATTCTCTATGAAACCTTAAAGCATGTGAATTATACATTCGTATGCACTTTATGGAACTTCAAAACTAAATATATTGGATTTTAATCATTTGAACACCAACCATGGACCCCCACTCCCCCTACATCACTCATCTTATACCACCAATCATATCAAATATTATAAAAATCAAAGATGAATTTTTATGAATTAAAAAATTATTTAATTTACTTTTAACATATACAAGTAAGTTTGAATATGTTTTTTTTAATAAATAGTTAATTTATTATCCTTTTTTGAAAAAGAAGTTTTAAGTATGAACCCCCAAAAAATAAACTAAAGAATATCTTATATTTATCCTTTGGAAAAACCCATCACTCTGCTTGAACTTACCCTTCTTTCATTGCAATGGTTCATCAATCAACGTCAACTTAATTAATAAAGAAAATGGAAAGAAAAAAAAAAAAAAACCCTGCATCGTCAACACGTCCATACCTTGATTTTTTGGAAAAGGATCTATAATTGTGGATACTTTCACATGCAAGTTGGTGGACATATAAATAAATAATCTCTGTTTTCAATTGGACGACATAGGTGTTTTATCTTCTTTGCCCATCTTTTTTTCAGTTTCTTACTAAAGTATGTTTGTCTGAGCATAAACAAGTGAAAGAAGAGTTTAGAGATTATCTTCACTGTCTCTACTTATCTGCTTTCAACTCTAGGTTCTCACTCATCTCTTTCACCCTTTTGTTTCTTTGTTGGCTCAAATTTTGTTTTTCTTTATTGCTTGAAAGTTTTTTTTTTTTTTGTGAACTTAGATATGCTTCTAAAGTATCTTGGATTTTTATTTAATAGTATACTTTCTGTTTGGTTGATGAGAAATTTAACAATGTAAAAGAAAATTTTGGTTGTTTTGGTCTATTTTTGTTTTAGCCTTGTGTGTTGTTGTGGGGAAAGGTTCAAGCATTGTGCTTGTCTTGTGCATTCTGTTCTTACAATCTAGCTGAAGTTTAGTTTTTTGTCCTGATATTTAAAGTAACTTAAGGAGAGGAAAAGCCAGTATTAAATGCAATCACCCGAGAAAAATTGAGTAAGGGACCATAAGCCTTGTCACAAGCTTCACTTTTCTCGTCTTCCTGACCGAGTTGGAACAGTTAGTGACTCACTGTTTTTCATTTAATTTCCCAGTTTTCTTCTCAGAAATTTGTATGTAAAGCAATAAACTTTTCCTCTTTTTTCAGGGAAAAGCAGTGGCAGGAGAGCAAGTGTGAGGAGGTTTAGCAATGCTGCTGCTCTGGAAGATCTGGTTGTTCCACCGGTTCAAATATCTTACACTCAACATTTAATTGATGGGAAATTTGTAGATGCTGCATCCGGTATGGAAAGAGTTTTCAGCTTTTAATTTGTGTTTCTGCAATGAAGCTGATGTTATTTGATGACATTGATCGAACAGGGAAAACATTCCCTACCTATGACCCTCGTACTGGAGAAGTGATTGCACATGTTGCTGAAGGTGACGCCGAAGATATTAACCGAGCAGTTGCCGCTGCTCGAAAGGCATTTGATGAGGGACCGTGGCCGAAAATGACTCCTTACGTAAGGATTTTGATTCAGGATTGGGTTTACGATATGAAAAGATTTCACATCTGTTAATGCTTTTGTTTCAGGATCGGTCACGGATACTATTGCGGTTTGCCGATTTGGTAGAGAAACATAGTGAGGAGCTCGCTGCTTTGGAGACATGGAATAATGGAAAGCCTCATGAGCAGTCTGCTAAATCTGAATTGCCATTGCTAGTTCGCCTTTTTCACTACTATGCCGGTTGGGCGGATAAGATCCATGGGCTAACGGTTCCGGCTGATGGACCTCATCATGTTCAGACATTGCATGAGCCAATAGGTGTTGCGGGACAGATCATTCCATGGAACTTTCCCCTTATCATGTTTGCTTGGAAGGTTGGGCCTGCATTGGCATGTGGCAATACCATAGTATTAAAGACTGCCGAGCAAACTCCTTTGACTGCTCTCTATGTGGCTAAACTGTTCCATGAGGTAAGCATAATGATGATCAGTATTATTGGATTTTTGTTAGAATCAGGCATCAAACCAAAATGTCTGAACGCCCCATAGTTTCTTGCTGGTATTAAACTTGTCTTAGCTTTCATGGAAAGATGTCTATTTCTGTACTTTCCACTCAAAGCAATGGATGTGCAAATGAACATACACGTCCAAGACGAAGAAAACCTTTTGTCTCATGCAATGGCTTCTCTATTACATATAAAGGATGTTGAATATATTTTGAGATGTTGTTTATGACAACATTTTGATCAGCAACGACACCATCTTGAAATCTTCCTTGAATTGTTTATGACAGGCTGGTCTTCCTCCGGGTGTTCTGAATGTAGTTTCTGGCTATGGTCCAACAGCCGGTGCTCCTCTTGCCAGCCACATGGATGTAGACAAGGTATCAAAATTTTAGTCTCCGAAACCCCCGTCTTCTATATTGTTTCATAAGTACATGATAATATAACAGTCTATACTCTTGAAATAAACGCTTGAATTCATAGAGGAACATAAATGGCTGCGGTACATAAATGATGTCAGCCTGCAGTTAAAATCAGTCAACTCTTGTTTGGTCAGCCTGGTCCTTGTTAAATATGCCTATTTTTTCCTGTAAAATGCACGCCTTAATTGTGTTAAGTTATGCCTAATGGTTAGTACCAAAAAAGTTACACATACAGAATGCAATGATGTCGAAACAACAAGCTTCGTTGGGCAATGGCTGAATGGTAACTGGATTGAGAGTTAGAAAATAGCTGGCCTGAATTTAGAGTTTAATGTTCTCCTTGTTGATATCGAGTTCCATGGGTTGATGAGTCGACACTCCATAAAACTATGATGCTGCATTCTGTATGTTCTTTGTTAAAACTTTGTTTGCAGGTTGCATTCACAGGATCAACTGAGACTGGTAAGGTTGTGCTTGAATTGGCTGCAAGAAGCAATCTTAAGCCAGTGACGTTAGAGCTCGGAGGGAAATCACCTTTCATTGTATGCGAAGATGCTGATGTTGATAAAGCTGTGGAGCTTGCTCATTTTGCTTTGTTCTTTAATCAGGTTTCTTTGATGAGTTCCTTTGATATGCAATGCAGGATGTTTTACATACATACCTTAGCAGACTTATTTAATGCTTCTTTCTTCAGGGGCAATGTTGCTGCGCTGGGTCTCGCACTTATGTTCATGAATGTGTATATGAGGAGTTCCTAGAGAAAGCAAAGGCACGTGCACTGAGACGTGTCGTCGGCGACCCCTTCAAGAAGGGTGTCGAGCAAGGTCCTCAGGTAATACACCGAACCCCCTCTCGCTCTCGATTTTCTGAACAAACTACATGAAGCACCTGAGCTGATCATCTTGCAAAAATCTCAGATTGACACAGAGCAGTTCGAGAAAGTTCTAAGGTATATAAGAGCAGGAAAGGAAAGTAAGGCAACCCTTGAATGTGGAGGTGACAGATTGGGAAATAAAGGATGCTTCATCCAGCCAACTGTTTTCTCAAATGTTACGGTAGTAGTAACCATCATTCCTCTCTGCTATAATTACCTTTGTAATTAGTTACTAACATGTTGCCAAACGCCATCCCTGCATTCTTATCGACCAGGATGATATGCTGATAGGACAGGATGAAATCTTCGGTCCAGTGCAATCTATCCTTAAGTTCAAGCAAGTATCGATCGACCTCGGTTGTAGATAGATGGAATAACCTGAGTTCATACTGAATCATGTTTCATTTGTACCAGGGACATTGATGAAGTGATTTGAAGGGAAAACACAAGCCGATACGGTCTAGCAGCAGGAGTTTTCACGAAGAACATAGAGACGGAGAACACGTTGACACGGGCGTTGAGGGTGGGGACAGTTTGGGTTAATTACTTTGACGTGTTCGATGCTGCAATTCCTTTTGGAGGGTACAAGATGAGTGGCATTGGAAGGGAGAAAGGGATATACAGTCTTCATAACTATTTGCAGGTGAAGGCTGTTGTTACTCCTTTGAAGAATCCGGCTTGGTTGTAATTTCCGTATCATCCACCCGCCGTCATTAGCTGCGTCTTTATAACGAATTTTTTTTTGCTTTTGTTGTTTCTTTTGGAACATAATAAAAGTTATTAGCACACAAGAGCGAGTTTTGTAATTATGCTATGGGAGGGAAGGGAAGAGAGTTCATAGGATCAAACTAAAGGATTGTCTTCTCTTTGATTGCTCAAAGGTTGTGTTCATATATTTGAATCAAATCGTTTCCAGGTATATTAATGGATCTATTCTACAGTGAAACTTGATGCTATTTTGAGGAAACAGTCGAATGTTACTAGTATATAATTGAAATACCAGAACAAGTGGAGTTCAAGTGAATTAGAAGTCCTTGTACCATACTTAAAAGTTTATTCTAGTCCCTCCGCTATTAAAAGAAACATTTTAGTCCATTTATTATATCTAGCTAAGAATTCATTTCAGTCTCTCTAATATAAGAATGAGCATTTTAATCCATATAATATGAAAACGATCACTAAAGTTATAATATGAAAACAATTTAAAAGGATTAATGGTTCTCAGTTCTGACACGTTTACTCCTTACTCAGGTCCCATCCCTCAGCGAATTTTAATTCAAAAATCTAATTGACAATAATAATAATAATTAAGAGCAAAGGTTTCTTAATTTAATAGTCTCTCAAAGGGTTAAGCCAAAGAGAAGAAAAGGCTGTGAGATGCAGGAGGCGGTTGGTTCACTTTTATATCGGATGGTTTAAATCAAATCACCTGGGTTTCTTAATCAGCTTTAGGTTGTGTCATTATCAAGGATACACGAAATACTTCACATCAGGAAAAGTCCGCCTAATCTATATTTATTCAGATTTTTTTGCCCGCCAAAACATCTAATATTACAAACGTTACATATTTAGGTGTTCAGGTCATCAACTTTAATTTTTCCCAGTGACATATATCACAATTTGATAATTTTTAAATTTTTGTATAAAATTTAAAAAAAACATATATTTTTTAAAAATAAAACACATAAATTTTGAAATAAACCCAAAACTTTAAAAACATTCATTTCAATCCCTAAACCCACGCTGACCACCACTCTTTCCCGTCAACGAAGCTCCACTTTAACCTCGCCTCCCCCGATGATCAAAACCCCTAAGAAATCAGGCTGATCGACGATGAATTGATGTTTTATACCTCTCGAACCCTAGATTGAAAATTGTGATTCCCACAACAAATCGACATCAAATACAACGACATATGGCTAGGAGGACGACAAGGAGTACATCGACGATGGTGGTTGTAGCAGGAAAGGGCGGCGGTGACCGATTAAGGGTGGGATTTGGAGATTTGGGGGATATTTTATAATTTAAGAGAAATTAAATTTTTTTTATAAAAAAATATTTTTAATATAATTTTTTTTTCAAAATCATCATATTGTGACACGTGTCACTTAACGAAGAAATTAACGTCGTTGACGACCCGGGCATCTAAGTGGGTAACGTTAAATACCTGGATGGGTCGAAAAATACTATAGACACCTATTCGTTAAAATAGTTATAGTTTGGACACTTATTTTATACTTAATCCTTAGGAAAATTATATATATATATATATATATATTAAGAGATAGAATTAAATTATTAATAGAAATATAAAAATTGAAAATTTCCGACCATAAATATAACTTGTATTTAATTAATATAAAAATCTTCCCAGCAGTTGCTTTGCACGTAGGAGTTGGTATCTGAATCTGATTTATCATTCATGCCTTTGCTGAATGGGATAACGGCATCCCACTTTTGAATTTTATTTCTGCCCAAATATTTTATTAATTATTTTCATTGTTTTGTCCTACGAACTTGGAGAAAGATCTTTTGGCCCATATGCTGCACGTAATGATAACTAACATATCATGTGGTCAAACATTATCTATATTTGCCTGTTGAATATAAAACTTTCAAAATATTGGTTTTTTCCTTGATGATTATTTCTAAAATCAGTGCGTAACTTTAACTGCCGACATAAGCATGCTGCTATTATATTAAACATGCAATTCAAGCTGTCTGAAAATGATTATGATTATGGTTTTACACTATCGTGATTGTTTACAACTCATTAAGTAATATTGTTATGTCTTTATCGTATGTTAATCACTTTCTTAACAATTTGATGTAATATTTAATTATTTATGTTATTTTTTAAAAGATATTAACATTTTCTATTTTACGTTTTTTTATATATAAAAATTAAACTAAATTCGATCTAATAATAAGAATTTAATCAACGAGCTTTTCTTCCACCTGCAGCAACCCAAAAATGGCGTTGAAAGTCACCTTTAAACATTCTGGCATACCCGGTTTCCTGGGTAACATGGCTTATTTTCATTGGCCCAAGTGTCCTTGGTCGGCGAGTATGGCCCACCAAAAATGTTGTTGGGCAGCCAGCCGAGTCTCTGTTTCGTACGAATCCAAAGGCCAACCCAATATTTTTGTGTAATAATATTTTTCATTCTTAATATTTTATTTTTATTTAACATAATTTAATATTTATAATTAAAGATTTAATTACTTTTACGATATTGTCAGTTTATTGAATTAAAAAGTAATTAAATAACTGCATTATGCTATGCCATAAAGCAACAATAAGTTTTAAATTGATGTGTAATAACTAAATCTATAGAATGAATTATTTAGTATAATATTAATATTAAGATAATTTAAAGTTGATCAAGTTAGACTTGTTGCGAATCATTCGTTCCTGCGATTTTCCAAGTGAATCCACATCTTTCGTAGAAGGAATCACTTGCCAAACCTCAAGACTCCACGTGTAACTGACACGTGTCTCAACTTTGTGGCCGCCAAATCGATCCCAACCTGTCTTCTCCCAGTCAACCCGGTAGCAGCAGGCTCTGTCATTTAATGCTTCATAACCTGCCACGTGTCCATCAAGATTTTCTCGTTATATTTTGGATTGGATTAACTGAAACCCCTCACTAAGTTGTTTATGCACGTAAAAAGAAACAGGAATCCTCTGTTTCTCTTTTCACTACCGTTTTAATTCTACTCGATGATACAGAAGAAATCTGGTCAAATTGACCGCCGGATGTTTTCGTTTCCGGCTGTTCATCCTTGCGGTTCAGTTTCTCCGGCGACCCTTCTCCGCTCATTAATCATTCTCTCCCAAAATATCAGTAATTACCAGTCAAAATCCTTTGCCACTCAAAGAAGATATGCACGGGAAACGATTCGACAAATTGGGATACTCCTCGTGTTTTTCGAGGAGATTCACGATCGTGGTTTAGTTGTTCCCGAATCGGCTGTGCTTTGCTTCTCTGAGCTTCATCTTACTTTCCAGAAAATTAAGTTGTTGTTGTAGGATTGCTCTCGAGAAGGAGGAAGGGTATGGATTTTAATGAAGTCGGAGATGGTGGCCACTCAATTTCGAGTGCTAATTAGAAGTGTTGCCACAGCGCTTGATGTTTTGCCATTAGATTTGATTGATGTTTGTGACGAAGTGAAGGAATTGGTGGAGTTGGTAGCGAAGCAGGCACGGAAGGAGAAAATCGAGGTCGATCCTCATGGTGAAAGAGCCATGAGACGAGTTCTTTCCATTTTGGATCAGTTCGAGAAGGGAATCGAGCCTGACTTCCAAATCTTAAAATGCGTTGTTGATTATCTTGAGATCAGAGCCTGGAGCGATTGCAACAAGGAAGTTAGATTCTTGGAAGAACAATGCGTTGAAGGTGAAGAAAGAGAAGCAGCATTTCTAAGTAGTTTGCTGGGGTTCATGTGTTACTGCCGGGGAAGGATTTTCGATACATTGGATGGCCAAAATGCCGACCAAACAGACGTACAATGCAACATGGAGATTCTCAGTTGCTTGAACCCCGAAGATTTTCGCTGTCCGATATCGCTGGAACTAATGATCGATCCCGTCACTGTCTCCACGGGACAGACATACGATCGGTCTTCCATACAAAAATGGTTGAAAGCAGGGCATACCATTTGTCCCAAAACAGGGGAGAAGCTAACAAGCACCGAGTTGGTCCCCAACACAACTCTCCGCAAGCTAATCCATCAGTTTTGTGCTGATAATGGGGTATCTCTCGCCAAAACAGGAAAGAAAAACCGTGACATAACGACGACGATCGTTCCCGGCAGTCCTGCGGCCGCGGAGGCAATGGAGTTCGAAACTCCTAGTGAGAAAGCTAATCTTTGGACCCAGTGAGCAGAAAAACAAGGCTGCTTACGAGATACGTTTGCTTGCAAAGTGGAACATTTATAACAGATATTGCTTGATTGAAGCTGGAACGATCCACCTCTTTTGAACCTTTTGTACTCTTTCAATAAGTCCATACAAGAGAATGCAGTTGCAGCTTTGTTGAAGCTTTCAAAGCATGCCAGTGGGAAGAAAGTGATGGTTGAAAGTGGGGGATTGAGGTCCATTCTTGCAGTTCTTAAGAGGGGGATGAGTTTGGAAGCAAGGCAGATAGCTGCTGCAACAATATTTTACCTCTCTTCAGTTAAAGGATACAAGAAACTGATTGGGGAAACGGATGAGGCAATCCCAGCACTTGTGGATCTCATCAAGGAAGGTACGCCATGTGGGAGAAAGAACGCAGTGGTAGCTCTGTTTGGACTCATTTTATATCCCGGAAACCGTCAAAGGGTTATCGATGCTGCAACCATCCCATTGCTCCTGGATATCCTAGCTTCATCAGACAAACACGAGCTCGTCACGGATTCAATAGCGCTTCTCGCGACCTTGACAGAGAGTTCTGCGATTCTCCAGGCTTCATCTTTGCCTTTAATAACAAGGATTTTTCAATCTTCAACATCTCAAGCGGCGAAGGAGCATTGTGCTTCCATCTTACTATGTTGCTGTAACAGTGATGGTGACGAGGCCATCGCTGTATTGGCCAAGGATCCTTCGGTTATAAACTCTCTGTACTTGCTTACGATGGATGGCACAGCTAAGGCAAGCAAGAAAGCTCGCTCACTTACCAAGATTCTTCACAAGTTTCATGAAACAAGCTCATCTAGACAAGGGTGTCAAGCATTTACACATGAACAGTCAGTTCCTGTCTGGTAGCAGTGATCAAGGATTGTTTTCATTTTGTACTTGTAAATATATACTTATAGTATTTAAGATTTGATTTTCGAGACAGTAGCTCAGTTTTTGCAGGAGCTAATGACTATATCTCTATCATTATCTCGGTTACTTAGAAGTGGAAATTTTGTAATTTATAAAAAAATATCTATTCACATATTAACCGAAATGCACCGTCTGAAGGTTGCTGTATCGGATATATATGAATACGACCAAGATTTTCTTAAGAACAAGCTTTACTTGGCCTGTGCTGTTGTTCGCCAGAGCCAAGGCAAGCGTAAGTATTTATCATAAGCATTTACGTGTGTTTGGACGATGAGGAAAGGTGACTTGAATTCTAGTTTTCAATCTTTTACATTTAAGCTCTAATATTTAATGTATAAAACCCATCTTTCATTTTGTTTTATCTTTAGTTAAAAGGACCTCCAATTCCCTTTCACTCTTTAAACTATATCTCTTGGTACGTTATATATATACATATCAAACAGGCATCCTTTGTAATACCCAAAACTCAGTTGTTGGAGCCGACAGTGGATCACAGGCGTCCGATACTCCACAATCAGGATCCAAAGCTACTTCTAAAGGTTTTAAAATCTGCACTACATTACTGAAGCTTCTTATGTGCAGCTGTTCTTCCTACTGTTTTCATTGCGGCAGTGTGCATAATATTCGTGTTACACTGTTAAACATAGGTGCTGGTAATAAAGACTGTTATGCACCAGTGGGATCTCCTTCCTTGCTCAATGGATGAAAGATGCACAAGAGATCACTGATAGAAATGCCGGAAGAAGTTTCCGTATGAGAAAACTGAACAATGGGGAAAATGGATCCTGCTGGCGCAAAAGGTGCAAGAAGGTAACCATTGCTTATCCTTTTTCTTCAACATTGTCAACAGGTTCTCAATTCTCAATGAATGCTTGTTGGTAACTGAATATTTTATGATGCACTCGACGTTCAAACATTTTCCAAATAGCTTCTTGAAAATTTGTACTTTGTTGAGTTCTATTCTCACAGATTGATACCTGTGGTGGGTTTAGGATGCTACCAAATCGAGAATATACTAGGAGTGCTAGATGGAGAAAGCAGGCTCAATTGACCAAACCCGGTTCCTCTGTTTGTCGCTGGTGTTTCCCTCATTGTCTTGCTCCCCCTCCCCCTCCCCCCATGAGCCATAGAAAAGTACAACAAAGCAGCTGTTGACAACAGAGTTTTAAAAGCTGATGTTTAAGCATTGGAGGCAAAGGTAAATGACTTATTTGATACATAGGTTTTCAACTTGAGTTCCTTGGTGCAAACTGGTCTAAATTTTGGCTGATCCGGGTCACTCGAGTTTGATATGATGAGCAAACCATAACTTCTAGATATCTTTGTATGCATGATGTAGCTGATATCTGTACTTGATACTACGCACATTGGTGAAAACCTTTTTCAAGGTGAAAATGACTGAATGTGAGGTAATCAGAGTCATCGGTTTCAACCCTGTGCTCTTTGCATCACCCGAAATATCGACAATGAGCATGTTATCATTCAATGGAAGTCCCTCTGACAAGTCCACAGATGCTGCTGTTCCCATGCAAGACGGCCTGAATCATCTTGTATATCAGGCTGCTGCAGACAATCATATGACCTGAAAACCAATGACTTTTTACTTTTATATATTCCTTTACATGGATGACTTTTATTAAGTTAAAATGTAAAAAAAAATATCTTTTCATTTTATAACATGTATTGTCCGTTACTGTTATACTATAACCTTACAATCTAAGCAAAATCAAGTTTGATTATACTAATCATTAGTTTAGCATCTAGCGAGTAATCTTATGAAAGAGAGTGCAGGCAACGTGGTTGTATAAACCAACTAAACTTGAATTCTAATGTAGATCAACTTTAATAATGCTTAATTATCAAATCTACTGTATAAAGAGTGTTCTTACAGACAGGGAGAGGCCAGTCCACACCCAGACTGGCAAATATAAAAAATAAACATATTGAGATGGAACCTCGAAAAAATTAAATGAGAAAATAGCAAAGGAAACAGCTTTACAATCGTTCAACAAAGTGGAATATGGCATAGCTTCTAAGTCCACTTGTTCCTCTCGGCTTGGCTTGGATTGTCTGTTTTGTTTCTGTTATAATACAAACTAGACTTGTTTAACTTTTTAAACAACAGTCTTGCAGTCTTTTTTTCCTATATGCATTAGGAGTAGTTCTTTTAAGGCCCTCGGTACCTCCGGAAGCAAAGGCAGCTCTGCTGTTGATCGATAGGAATCATACCTCCCCCTTTGGACGTGTCTATTGCCTCCAACATTGAAACTACCCCGTCCATTTCAGGTCGCTTGTTGGGGTTTGCGTCCCAACATTGTTTCATTACGTTTGCAAGAGAGCTGGGGCAACATCTTGGTATATCCGGTCTCAAATTCTGTGGTTTCAATGCAAGGATAATTAGCAACAATGCTAGTGAGATTAAGATTCAACCATGTATCCTACATGAACATAACTTGGCAAGTGTCGGTTAATTGTAAATTAGCAATGAGAATGGGGAGGGAACAGGTCTACTATACGGAGGAAAAGAAAGCAAAGTTAATATACCTGACGAACCACAGCGGAGGTCACTTCAGCGAAACTAAGGTCAGGATATGGCATGTCACAACAATAAATCTCCCACAAACATATCCCAAAGCTGTACACATCACATTTCCTGTTATATGGGTTGCCATTGAGAACCTGAAAAGCTCTCCCACTGAATGAGTAACTAATCAATTAAACCACATTTTTTTACTCTTTTCTTTCGCTTTCAGTCTAGTTAGCTGAAAAATAATGTCAGATGCAGAACCAATACATTAATGAAATAACTCCAAAGTTAAAACTTGCCATCGGTATGAAAAATGGTAAAAACTAAAATAACAATAGAATCCATACCTCTGGAGCCATGTAGCCAAGGGTTCCAGTCTCTCCAGTCATGTCATTAGGATTTGAAGCTTCCACACGAGCAACTCCGAAATCAGCAATTTTGACCGTACGTGTCTTGTCTAATAACATGTTCTCCGTCTTTACATCTCTGTGAACAATCTTCTGTGAATGAAGGTAACATAACCTACAAAATAATAGGTAGATAGATCCCTCTTGTAAGTCTAAAGGTCGAGAAAAATATAAGACATATACTATATGCTCGATCTCGAGAGGTGAAAGAACTATACGCAATAAAGAAAAGAAACTAAAAATATAAAATGGGAGATGTGTATAGTAAATTACCCTCTTGCAAGATCAAGAGCAAGTTGAACAACCACTTTGAAAGCTAACTTCTTTCTCCTGTTCTTTATAAGATAAGATTTGAGAGCACCGCCGGGAAGATATTCCACAACAACACAACAAACACTATTTGGCAAGCTGATTTGGCCCCTCTCGGATTGTATCAGTAGCCCCGATGAGCCCATTGTTGCCCCTATAAACTGGAAAGCATAAACCAGAATTCTTAAGAATAAGAAACTACATAGAAGTTAAGTGAATGCTAAAATAGTATAGTTGCAAGTCATGTGTCTCTTCAGATATATATTCACTTTGTTGGGAAGTTAATATCCTCAAACGAATCATGGGTTCGTCCTGTTTGGAGCTGAAGGTGTTTGGAGAGTTTCAATATGGTGCCATAAACAGGTGATGCCTTTGATAACATTACAGCAACCCCATAGTTTTATATACATTAATATTGTGAGGAAATTAACAGCAATACTTGTGAGCTTTTAGTCATGGTTGCTTAAGAAAATCTTCAAGCATTTATGTATAGATCTTGTTAACAAAAGATCCAACCGCAAATGTCATCACCAATAAAAGGGAAGGGGGAAAATACGAAAAAGGAAAACAGATCTTCTTAAAGAGAAATTAACCTTTGTAACATTGGGATGCTCAAGTTTATGCCAGACAGCAACTTCTTGTGAAAAGGCTGCCCTTAGTGCGGTAATCTCAGCTTCCGTCCTGTGTCCCTCCTCACCCCAGTCCAGCAGTTTCACTGAACACCAAAACACATTGTAGTGAAACAAATCATCTTGGTAATAAGATCAAATCCAATCCATGAAATACATCTTAAGTTGGCTTCCATTAGAGTGATTACCATAACCAGCAAATAACATATTAGAACAGAATAATTCTTTCCGTTCCTTGTTTATCCGATATGAAATAATGTAATAGTTACAAGCTAGGATCACATGAAAGTTGTTGTTGATGGAACCAAGAAATTCAACCCCACCCCATGTTCACGGACTCCCTAAGACTTACATAACAGTCGAATGCATAGAAATAGACTAAATGGATGATCATCCAAACGAATAACCCATAGAAACATAGCAACACTGAAGCTAATGAACTATGAGATGAAGGGACTTGAAGAAACAATTAAGAGAATCCAAAACTGCACCAAAAAACTAGAGTAAAGCCTTTGTAAAAAAACATCTGGTTAAATTTAGATCATCTAAGCAGCAGTCTAAGTCAATTCATTTAAAAGGATCCAAGGATAAAAATAATAAGGAAAAGGGATTCATTTAGAATCAGACCAGCAACATCCAGATCGTCATAGATGCCACGGTGAACAGTACCAAAGCTGCCGCGAGCAATGACAGATTTGATGATGAGCTTGGAAGGGTCAATCTCCCACTCCAGCCTCTCCCTCTTGGCCAAAGCTGCAGGCTTGTCGGAGTTAGTCCGAGCAAGCCTGAGCTTTCCATCATCAACAGCAACACGATCACCATCGGCATCAGCATCATCTTTCTTACACTTGGTGCCGTCACTGGTCCAAACCCTGTTGAGGTGCTTCTCGAGCTGCTCATCCAAACTCTTCAGATTAATCTGATCTCCTCTCACGAACCCATAACCGCCTTCCTTCGAACTCATTGAAAAGGCTGAAACTTTTTCCTCAAAATCAGTGGGAAATGAGGGGAGTTTGGTTGATGAGTGATTGATAGGAACCCAAAAGAGAGTTGCTTTTTAGTCCATGTTGTTTGATGTAGATGTAGAAGTAGAAGAAGAAGAAAGAAGAGAAAAGGAGACCTTGTTGAATTTGATACAAAACCAAACGCAATAATCCATGTGGGCACATGGAATTGCCCAAACACAACGTGTAACTAACCCACTACGGTCTCCTCTTCTTACTCCTTCAATGCTTCAAATTCCTCGTTTACTGTTTCCTTTTTCCTCTATTAATATATTCATACAATGCAATATGATATATAATTTAAAACATAATTATTTATTAATTTAACGATTTAAGGTATCAAAATTTAATATTATGAATGTGATAAGTTAATTTTTTTAAAAAATTATAATATTTAATTAAATTCATCAGACATTGAAGCATGAACTAGGTATGTAAACTCAAAAGGTATTTTTGTCTATTATATGTATATGTACGTTTTGTATAAAATTCAGTACGTAGTCCTTCACAATTGTCTACCTATCTGCCGGTCCAAAAATATAGCCAAATTTTGTCCATTTTCATTATTTAGCTTTTGATTATTATTAGCAAGAGTGCCGTATTACAATATCACCACCAATTACTCCAATTCATCACACACAATCTCTGGTCAAGTGAGTATCAAACGAATAAAGTAGTTTTTGGCACGTTCAAAACTTGGTTTAAGAAGTTAAATTATGTTAACATTCCTTATAAAATAAATTTAAGCTTGAAGAGGAGAGGAATTTATAGTAGGAGCTTGGAAAAACAGAAATGAGAGAGATTAGTACATTGCATGTTAAAAGTTTAATCCAAGCAAGCCAATATGTGTATGGTAGATGTAGGGGTCCAAGTGATTGGATTGAGATATAGATATATGTGGGTGTGGGTGGGCTGAGACTGGTCAGTTAAATGCTAAAATCCTTGTCCCTGGCGTTTCCCCCCGCTTGTAAAACAGACCCTCCACCTTTTATTTCTTTTTAGGTTATCCTCTCGATTTTCAAAGTTTATTCTTAATTAATTCGGATCGATCCGAGTGTCACACTTAATTTTGATGAATCAGTCTCTTAACGTGAATTTTTTACCTATACAACGACTCGAACTTAAAATTTGATCAAACAATATCAAACAATTTACTACTTAAACCAATCAATTGATAGACTGATCCACCCTCTAATGCTTGCTGCCATTGGTTCCGGGGATTAGGTGTAGGGGTTACTGTATCTTAAATCACGTTAATAATAAATAAAATTAACATTTTTAAATTTAAAAAATACAAAGACTTGAAGAGTGTTTCAATGTATAAATAGTTATTTACCAACATTTGACCATAATGTAAATAGTGAAAGGCAGGAAGTCATATTGGATCACCCACGTATTCAATGGATACGGATATATCCAAAATGTATCTGTTCTACTTGTACTCGTATTATCCATTCATCCCTAGTTTCGCACACGCTTGATTCGAAACCCAGAGGTCTCCAAGAAACAGGAAACAGGAAACAGGAAACAGAAAACTCCACCAGATTCATACAAGATGATAATTAGCAACCATGTTTGTGGTGTGGGGCAATCAATTTCAATTCCTCAGCTGAAACCCTTTTGTTGTATCGATTCCTTGCCCAAGAAATCATCCAATTTGAGCTTTGTTCTGGGTTGGAATTGGAGTCTTGCTGCTGCTCAAAACAGGCC